AGGGGAGGGAGGGGAGGGAGGGGAGGGAGGGGAGGGAAGGTGAGCATTGCCTGCACTGTCAATAAGAATACACACGGCGGCAAGGTATCAGGTGCGCTCACAGGTATGGGGTAGGCTTATGAGAGAGAAACTAAAATACGAAGAAAAATAGGTGCCAGGAAGGTTAGGTAGGTATAGAAAGAAGAGAATGGTGCAAAGTGCAGAGAGAGAGAGAGAGAGAGAGAGAGAGAGAGAGAGAGAGACAGAGAGAGAAAGAGAGAGAGAGAGAGAGAGAGACAGACAGACAGACAGACAGACAGACAGACAGACAGACAGACAGACAGACAGAAGGAGAAGGACGAGGAGACAAAAACGTAACCAGACAGTGCTGGAAAATACAAGCATCTCTCAAAGAATGAGAAGGAAATTATAATCCAGAAAAAACCAGAGTGGATCATCCTGCTTTTTCGCTCAGATCGTAGAAGAAGAAGACTGATTATTCTGCTTTTTTATTGAGGTAAACGTGAATCTTGTCTTTTTACTCAGAACCAAAAGTCCTACAACATTACCTGCTTGAAATAAGAACCAGAACAACAAAGTACAAACTTAAGAGACGACAATAAAGAAAACAGTGAGGAACAGAAGGATAGAGCAACAAAAAATATGTGGTAATAAATAAAACAATAAGATATTTGGACAAAGAAAATTACAAACCGTTAAACTATTGAAAAACATCATCAGCACCCCCCCCCACCTCCACACACAGAAACCCCTACACAAACAAAGCAGAAGTGAAATCGCACATGGGGGAAAAAAGTGAGATAAAACAGGAAGCGGAAGAGGAAGGTTTAGTGGTAGCTACTTCCGGTGTAAAGTGGTTTCTTACTTTCCCGCGGAGTAGACCTCTGCCGTGTCGAAGAAATTGATTCCTCGCTCGTAGGCAACCGTCAGCAGCTCCTCTGCTACCTGAAATGTAAATTTAAAAAGATGCTTGTATGTTTTCCGGTTTGGTTTGGTTATAGAAATAATTTTAAGGCACATGCAACACAATTAGGTTATAATCAATATAGCTAGTGAGGCAGGTAAGTAGGTGGTTTATTCAGTGTTTAAGGTCATTGACCCACATCACACAAAACATAAACACTTTACAGAAGAGAACTCCGTGAAAACAGCATAAATTATGAATGAAATACACATAATAAATATCATGTTAGGTCATAGAAAAGCAGTAAATTAGAGGTGTTACAGGAGAGTGAACAACACAACAAAGAAGGAAAGATAAGGACGATTGATGTTTGGCAGGACTGAAAGAGCAAACGACACCAGAACATCCGCCTACCACCCACATTCCTGTTTGGATACAGTTACTTTGCGGTAACCGACGTCTATGATATGGTGGTCAGACGCTTCGCCGTCGCACGAAAGAGACTTGAGGTCGAATCCCAAGCTTGAAAAATGTATTTATAGAGTCTGATCTCGATCTTTTTGCTGAGGTGTTGTATTCTTCTCAGTCTGGGTTGACCCTAATAAGCAGAGTCAAAGCCGGCCTCTAAATGGCGAGTTATGGCGACTTTAAAAACATAATTTAATTATTAATGTTTTTGTTTGTTTCTGATTTGAAGAAAAAAACAACGTTGGAGTATTCGTGTTTGAGGAGTTTAGAACAGCCTTATCAGTTTCTCTTTGCCGTTTACGTACTGCGCATATCTTGTAAACAAGTTGATAACTCTCTAAAAAAACCAGCAAAAAAACCCAAAACAAATAACAGCAACAATACCAAAGGAGCAAAAAACAACAAAGTACAAACTAAAAGAACACAACAACAACAACAACAACAACAACAACAACAACAACAACAACAACAAGAGCAACAACAACAACACGTGCTGGAAAAAAAATCTCATAACAGTCCTCTATCCACCTCACCGTCCTCCCACCTCCCTAGCATACCCAGTGGTTAAAAAAAAGGGAAAAACAACACCCTAAAAACACGAAGGAGGAAAAACAGAAAAACAGGTCACTTCAATGTTCTCTTTGTTTTCGGCTGTGCTTAAGCCCCGACCGGATTAAAGGATTCCGTATATCTCGCGGGCCAAAGGAAGTGACAATTGGGTGAAATCGATTCAGATACCCAAGAACTCAAAAGTGAGACTAAAACGGACACTCTAGTTGTGTGTAGCTTGTTCCACTAAGTATACTTCGTTTGGTGAAATATTAGATCTGTTGCTTCTAGTTCTAGATTTTCGAGTCCAAAACAAAGCGCTTTGGGTTAGTTTGTTTTTGTAATGTATCATTTTTTCCTTCTTACCACATGCCACATTTATTGTTATTACATTATTGAGTCGACTCCCAGGTCAGACTGACACTACCTGCGGGCTTAATCTGGCCCGCGGGCCGTACTTTTCCGGTAAATGCCTGGCCAATCAGAAATACTGCTCTGAAAAAATTGTGAAAATATACGTCCTGTTCCCAGCAGAAGATTTGGACCGGGGACATGGGTTAATGTTTCAATCGATTTTGCACTCTTTTATTTGTTTGCTTGAGTAAAGAGAAGAACATGAACACAATAATGATAATTTAAATTTTAGTGCCGAAAAAAAAAGCCGGACAGACAGAAACAACAGACGAAGTTACTTCCCATCGTTACCCTGGAATTACAAAGTTCTATCTGCATAATACGAAGTTTTGAGACATTTGACACCAAAATAAGCGTTTTCGAATGCAGTTCTTTGAATACCTTGATAACGGCTCAGAATAATCTAACGATTTTGATACGGCAGATAGAACATTTGATTTCTAATCTCATGGTCTTAGTAATTTAAAACGGCCAATAAATGTCAAATAGAACTTTGTAATTCTAAGGTAGCGCAGTGGCGCCCTCGAACCATCCTCAATTCAGCACGCAACATCCTCGTTTATGACCTATTTAGCAATTGGCTTAGCGTGAGAATGGGCGAAGATCAGGTTTCAATGGGAAGAGAGCATAAATATTTAATGAGTTTTAATCCACCGTTATTTATGGCTGGTCCCGTAGACTCGAACCTGTCGTGGCATATACTGTTTTATTCGTTAACTGTATGTGAACATTAAAAGGCCACGTGTTTCCAATTATGTTTGCTCTCAACTAGTGGTAAATGCCCGACAATGACAGAAATGAGGTTGATGATTTATAGCGTACAACTGTAATTAGATGCTAGTTTTGATGTTTATTGTTGTAGTTGTAGCAGGTAATTCAAGTCACACGTCTGATCTAAGTTCTCTCTCTCTCTCTCTCTCTCTCTCTCTCTCTCTC